TTTTCATTATTATTTTTTTTATATCATCTATTTTTGAACTGTTACATCAAGAATGGCCAACTCTTTATTATAATCTTAACTAATGTATATATAATTAATTTATTAGGGTTTTCTTATTTTGGTTTGTGAAAAAAAATTTTGTGAATAGATCAGGGTAGTTTGACCTGTTTGCCGTTGCTTTAATCAGGGCCTGGTTTAGATGAAGACAGGTCCTGGGCTACTCCACTTGTGAGGCTCCTCCCAATTGCCCACCCTCACAACTAGAGGAAGATGAAAGTATGTTGAGCAAAGCTGGGTATGTTGACATATGTTTAAGACAACTAGTGCATGTAAGAAAGACTAATAATTACTGTGCAAAAAATACTATACACCTTGGCCTGAGGCCCCTTTGATCTTTAGGCCCTAGGTTTCAACCTGCCTAGCCTATAGGGAAATCTGACATTGGCTTTAATATTTCAATCGACATATTTATGTCATTGTAGTCTGTGAGATAAAAATATAGCTTTTAGTGATAATTGCATTATGGAGAATAAATGGTTAATTTTGCGGAAGAACCACATGAATTCTGATGTAAATATAATTGCAGGAAATGTTTTAAGAATGTTTGATTTTATAAGATTGAACCAAGAATAATATTTGTCTAATAAAATAATGATAGGGATACTTAAAATTGTTAGAAATGATTTTTATTATATTTTGCTTCGAGCAATCATTTTGTCAAGAAAAGCTAAGATATTGGAGATTAATAAAAGTTTTATGGATGAAATAGAAAAAACTATAGATGGTTATGCAATATTTTTACCCAATGATTACAGTAGGTTTGGTTCTTTTGATTGGTCCTTTTATTGCCATTTATTAATGATTTGAAGACGAAACAAAACAGTTAGCTATCACTCTATAACTTAATTGGGATGAATACTCTCATATACAGATTCTGTATGGTATATTAGTAAGTATTGTAAACCTAACCAGTTCAGTAAGTAATATTTTTATATGCCCACATTTTCATATCAGACCATATCTTCCTGGATTGTGACCCCTGATTGAACATCACGTTTTTTGTTTTAAGCCTGTTAGATCAAAAATATGTACTATGATTGAACATCACGTTTTTATATACCCACATTTTGTGGACACTCTACAGGTCACAATTTTTATCCGATTTCAACGAGATTTGAAATGTAAGCCAAAGATCTTGGTTCCTTTCGATATTCGCGTAACCTCCTGAATTATGGACCCTGATTGTATGAAAAATCACGTTTTTTTAGGTTGTGGACCCTATGGAGGTCACATTTTTATTTAAAAATCCGTTTGAATATATCACCATTACACGGTTGAGTTTGAATTTTTTAAAAATCTAACCAAAACTGCCGAACAAAATGGACGCCTTTCTTCGCAAATAGTGTGAGCATCTGATATATCAAGGTTGTGGATGCTCTAGAGGTCAGAATTTTGATCCGATTTTGATGAAACTTGAAATGCATGTTTATAACCCAAAGATATTGGTTCCTTTCGATATTTGCGCATATCGGATCGTAACTTTCTGAATTATGGCCCTTGAATTTTTTAAAAATCTAACCAAAACTGCCGAACAAAATGGACGCCTTTCTTCGCAAATAGTGTGAGCATCTGATATATCAAGGTTGTGGATGCTCTAGAGGTCAGAATTTTGATCCGATTTTGATGAAACTTGAAATGCATGTTTGTAACCCAAAGATATTGGTTCCTTTCGATATTTGCGCATATCGGATCGTAACTTTCTGAATTATGGCCCTTGATTGTACAAAATCTCGAGGTCACAATTTTTATCCGATTTAAAAAAAAGCGTGTGAATATATCAGTGTAACACACACTAAGATCTTGGTTCCTTTTGATATTCGTGCATATCCGAACGTAACTTCCTGGATTATGGCCCCTGATTGTTAGAAAAATCACATTTTTAGCTTGCAGATTCTCTAGAGGTCACAATTTTTTCCGATTTTATAACTCCTTTAAACATATCACCATTCCACCATAATGAAAGTTGAATTCGAATTTCGGGAAAAAGGAAATGACACTGCCCAACAAAATGACCGCTCTTTGTATGCAAATTGTGTAAAAGTATGTAATACGTAGGTTGTGGACCCTCTAGAGGTCACAATTTTGATCCGATTTTGATGAAACTTGAAACGTATGTTCATAACCCAAAGATCTTGGTTCCTGTCGATATTCGCGCATATCGGACCATATCTTCCTGGATTATGGCCCCTGATTGTACAAAAAATCACATTATTTTTTTAGCTAGTTCTCTGTCCATCTCTTGCAAAATGTCGGTGTATCTTGCATGGCAGCTGCTTGTTTGTTTTAAGATTGTTCTCTATCCATGTCATGCAAATTTTGGGCTATTTTGCCTGGCAACTGCTGGTTTTTATTGTAGTAAAAGGCAAACAATCCTGATATGTTAGATCAAAAATATGTACTATGTTAGATCAAAAATATGTACTATGTAATTAAGTAAATCTGAGTACATGAAGAATGGGCTAGTTTGTATGAAAAAGATGGTTGAATTCTTATAAGTATACTTATAACAAATGTAAACTATAAATGGCCATAACTTGAGTTAGAACTGACAGATTCTTTCAACAGAATTGTTCTTAATAAAAGTTGACCCATGACTTCTAAGTATAATAAAATTAAATGTTTGGCTGTCCTTATAGACAGTTTGTAGGCCAATTGAGTTAGAACTGACAGATTCTTTCAACAGAATTGTTTGAGTGTTCTTTTTTTTTTTTTTTTTTTTGTGATCTTCAAGTATCTTGACAGATGTCTGGATAACTTTAAAAGTGTTTAACTCCGTCCCTACGATAATTTATGGTTGTAGAGGTATTGATATGAAAATGAATGTATATATATATATATATACACACACACAGGGTTGATTTTTTATATATATATATATATATATGTATACGGAAAGAAACCCAATATTATGCTACGAGTGCTTTCAGTAATATAATTATAATAATAATAGGGTTCTTATAGTGCTAAACTCCAAACAATAAAGTCTGCTCAAAGTGCACACAAAATCAATTCTAAGTTACTTTAGAGTTTGTTTTTAATATTTAGAAAACAGAAATGTCTTTAATTTATAATTAAATATTGAAAGTAATGGAATGATTAATGGAGAATGTGTATTAAAGGTATGACGATGTTCCGATGGAACTGAAAGTGCTAGCTGCAGATTAATGTGTTTATTTTTCTAGACATTTTAATTTTCCTATATAGAAGCTAAGAGCAGGCCATTAATTATATTTTATTCACATATATGTGTCAAAACATTGAAAATGGCAGATATTAATGTTGCATAAACTGAATTGCATTATAGTACAGATGTGATGCCTAGTCAGTTTTGCACTTCACTTTTGGCTGATTTATTGACAGACTTTTGAAGGACGGACTTAAAAGATTGTGTACAAAATCTGCAATAAACTGATGAAAATCAAGATTTTACTGGCAAAAATCTTCAATTTAATAGTGAACAGAGTAAAAGTAAAGTTATGCCATAAATCAAAATTTTTACTTGCCTTAGGCATTCTGAACTATAGTTAGAGTACCCGTTGTCTTCAGCTAATTGTGCTTTCGAAAATTATGTGACATGTTTATTTTATTCAGCAGAAGAGGACAGTCAGCCAAAAATAGGATTTTGGAATTTTATGCAATTACATGTATGGTTTTAATAACATTGCAAACATTTTGATGAGATTCTTAACATGGGGATCATTACTATAAATAAGATGCAATTTTGTTGGAATAGTGTTTATTCATGTGCACCAGATGAGAAAACTTACAACGATTTCAAAATTAAAATGTCAACCTTTCTTTCACATTTACTGTGATTCTTCATTGGTATTAAAATGCATTATTTGTACATTGAAATTCAGAGCGCAATCGCATCACAGGTAAGAGTCAACAGACTTGCTTACCACCATACTTGTTGTTATGTGATACCTTTATTTCTTGTAATTGACATTCATAAGACGTTAAAATATAATTTCATTGTCACATCAGTCACCTTAATTAGGTAGAATATCAGTGGCATCTGTATGTATATTGAATTTGCCAGCTTCTGATAGTTTCATTATGTCAAACACAATAACTTTACTTTTAATGAGTCAATTTTGATAAGGAATATACCTTCATTGACCTACTTCATTCTGATTGTTTTATTGGGTGTCAGTTAAATCTGCAAATCAAATTCTATAACCATTCTCTAAATTATTAGAAAAATTAATAAAGGTGTTGGAAGTATATCTGGATAAACATTATTTCCTCTTTGGTGTAAATGGGTACATAAAATAGTGCACAAAATAAGTAAAAGGTGCCAATTTTGCCTGGACCAGTTTGTAATACTACGTCCGATGTGACGTCACACATAGAACCTAGTTGGGGCTGATGTGCAGTTAAAAGACAATTCTTTTCACTTCTATATGTGAATATTTAATTAGTTTACTGTGATCTGATTGGTTGATACCAAAAACTATGAATATGTATTCATAATGATAAGCCTTTTAATGAAGTCTTGATACCAATTTCACACATTTTGTTACCCAACTTCAATCTGATTGTAGTTGGTAAATATGTGTCCATCTTGCATTCAGTGTATTCTATCCTTCCTCCGCTAGTTCAGTTTATTTTATTAAACTCATATTGTTATCTCCCCATCATGTCCCAAACACCATATGTTGGACACACTATATAGCCCTGTTGGAGTGGACATGCTTTTCATTCATTTCATTATGTTCTAACTGATAAATCTTGTGAACTTGATACCACAGGAAATAATAGCGTTGTGAAAAGGGGTTATTCATTGTGAATTAGCATTGTGGAACAGAATATTTTTGAATGCTATCTGCTGGTGGTGGTCATATATGGTCAATTTTGTATATGAGTAAGCTATTTTTATTATATTTTTTTTTAAAAATCTACTTTCTTGTTTAACTGTATTTTATATTTCTTTTCAGATCTTGATGACCTTCCTATTATTCACCCACCAAAACGTCGACGCTTACAGAAATTGTCTGTTAATGGTCAGATGATGCAAGAAACTATAATCAGTTCAAAACTGGATTCCGATAGGATACGCTTGGAGCTGCCTCTTCACAATTGGCTGGAGAATAAATACCGCTCAAAAGCAGAATTGCGGTGTGGCGATGTGGAAAAAAGTAAGAAGAGTGATAATGAAGAAGATAAGACTTACAAAAATAATGAAACACAAGCATTGTCACCTAGCAATCAGCAAGATTCCCAGAAGCAGAAGGATGTTGAAGACCACCCTGAAAGTACTCAAACCCCTGGAATGGAACCTATTGATGCAGTTTATGAAACAAACAAGATCCAGGATGAAGAATGTGACTCCATGAATCTACAAATTGATGAAGACAATGATACAGAAAGTGCTTTTACTGAGGCAGAAGAATCAAAGAACAAAGAGTCTGAGACAAATGATGTGAAAGGACCACCTACGCCTCCACCACAGAATCTGACAGAAGTGCCTCAGCCTAAGAAACTTATGGAATTAGCAGCTTCTGTTGTCGCATGTTTAAAGTATGTATAAAAATATATTGTTCAATTTGGGGGAATGGGAGAGGTGGGAGGGGAGGGCTGAGTCATCTAATTTTGTGCTCTTTATTTTTTTATGATCCTTCATTGTTGTGCTTTGGTTCTAAGGATTATATGTTACAAGCAGTAGGGTTGGAGGTTTACGCTCATGGGTTCGCCCATCTGTGGAGCTCATCATATATATAAATATTAACCTCCAACCCTACTGCTTGTAACAGTTTAATATCTTATTTTTATGTATCAAAGCTGGCATAGTTTTCTGTGATATCATAGACATAATATTTATAGTTGACTACATAAAACTAAACATGTCCATATATATATATATATATATATATATATATATATATATATATATATATATATATGTAGTCAATTTGCCAACTGCAAACATGTTACAATATATTATATAATGTGTTAACAATTGTTTTTTAGGCTTTCCAGATTCACATAAGTCAATATTTGAAATCAGTTTATTAATAGCCTCTTCTTTTCTAGAAATGCAGCTACAGTAACTGATCAGAAACTGCAAGAAAGACCAACCAATTCAGAAACTACTAAACCAGAGGAAGCAAAAGAAGCCAGAGCACCTTTGAATCTATCTGTTAAGAAGAACCCCTCAGGTGAGTTTAACCCTGTAGTAAGGTTTGAACAAATTTTTGAACATGTTCAGGATCATCTACAATTTTTATTTATGTTTATCAAACATGATATCACTAGTTTTTAAGGATATAAATGGCTACTCGGTTAACCTGCCATGGTTCGGTTGCACAGGTGAACCAGTTAAAAATATTACTAACCGATATTCTTAATCACATGAAGCATGGTAAGTTAATGTCTTTAAATTCCTGTGCTGACTTTTATATACTGTATGTTATTAGAACTCACTGTCAAGCATGATATAGATTCAACTGATTGACAAATGAATAATTTTACAGCATTTATTAACCATGTTCTATAAAAAAAGTCTCAAAAGGAAATAAAACAGTTTGATTTGATGAAATAATATTAAAATAGACAGGATAGTGAAATTGTTTATATCACTCAAGCCCGATGCCATGTGCTGATTGGGTCAAAGTTGACGACACCTAGGTTACTGATGTGTCTTTTCACTGCCACTGACCGCTGAACACTGATTCTTTTAAATTGACTGCCAATATTGTTTTCAAATACAAGATGTTAATTCAGAATAGGGACTATTACACTTGCACAAACATAAAATCTTCAACCATTATGACTATGTTTTCCATATGATATAAGTCAGTCGGTTTCCGATCCAAAGCCAGGGGTCTACAAATATAAAAATTCATTGGTTGAGTCATCCACGCGGCATTGGATGAGTCGTGTGCATGGCATTGATTATGTTATGAATATGAATAGTATTCATAGTGAATATAATGAAGTGTACTGAATGATGCTTTATCGTGGTATCTGCGTGGTTGTACTATATCAAACACTATGACAATCACGCAGATACCACGATAAAGCATCATTCAGTACACTTCATTATATTCACTATGAATACTATTCATAGTGTTTGATATAGTATTTCACACCATATCATTGTGTCTTTAAATGGCTTTCGTCTTTTAATTTGTTAGTTAGTTTATTGTTACCCATATGTATATAACCTGTTTGCTTGTAGATGAGATTTAAGGTACTTTCCTGTTGATTTAGATATAAACTGGAACAGATGATTTCGTTCCCCATATTTAGCGAAAAACAAATGAAATTGGGTTTAACATTCTGCTCCTTTGCAACAACTGGATTAACAACTGCCACACTGGGTTTATATCAATTTTTTTTTTCCTGAATTCGGTGTCTTCTTTCAGTTTAATTGTTAAAGATTTCCAAAACAAAAATTTGAAAAGGAAGCTGGTGCCACCGCTATAGCTCGTTACTGGCTTTCTTAATTAATATATTATATGGAAAATATAATCATAAATGTTGAAAGATTTTGTGTTGGTGCAAATGTAATAGTCGCTACTCTGAATAGTGTTAATATGTTGTATTTTGGTAACAATCGACAGTCAATTGAAAGGAATCAGAAAATATATTCATAACGGTTGAAGATTTTATGTTTAGTCCCTATTCTGAATTGTGTTAATAATCTCTTGTATTTTGAGAACAACTGGCGGTTGTTCGCGGCCAATTAACAGGACTAGGGTTGCCTTCCTTTGTCCAACCTCTTGAGTTTTTTTCTGGGTTCTCTGGTTTCCTCTCATAGCTAAAGATGCCCTGTGTCCATACAAATTATCTAAATAATGTTAGTCCCGAAATTACATAGTGTCGAATGGACATTTCTCTTTCTCCCCCTTGTTTTGCTAATTGAATAGTTCTAAATTGTTTTCTTCAGTGCACTAACATTGATCTTTCCTGTAAACACAGTTGACATAGACTTGAATAATACAATGTTTGGGAAATACTCCCATTTTTTATGCTTTACATTTCTGGATTGCTTCCCTTGTTGTGAGTTTGTTTAATTTGAGTGAAGCAGAACTTATTTTAAGGTTTCTTTGGTAAAGCACTGTTTCTAGTGTTTTGGGATTCTGTGAAAATTTCCAGAATTTGATTTCCGGTAACACAATATCATGCTTACACTTTTATAACCAAACAATAACAGAATTAAAATATTTATGATTATAACCTTGTGTCAGTATCATTAACAGTCCAAAGAAACCGCCAAAGTCAATCCAAAGGCAAAAGAGCCTTCACTGTCACCTGCACCTGACGATGTTCTGCTGTGTAATTTTTGTGCTTTAGGTGGTGGTGGGAATACATTAACTATACAAAACTTTTGAAAAAGGAATTGAAAGTGATCGATGATCATAATGATAGCTAAGTTTCCACATACGATCTTGCCAGATTCACATGGCTACAAAGTATTTTTACACCTCATATGGTGACTTAACAGCACACAATATTTGTACCATGATTTTTAATTTGAACATTGAAATGTTTTTGTGTAATGTAAGCATAGCCCGATTTGTAATGGCACTTAATTAATTTTCTGTCTATCTCTGGGCATCAGGTGCTATATCCCAAAGAGCTGTCTTCATTACCCGGTTGGTGCAGAAAGTAGGAAATTAAATGCAATGAAATGGGATTTATCATTAAACCCCATTTCTATTCATTTCACATTAAGAACAGCATTCCAAACAGTGGTCATTTAGTCTTTAATTAGTAACTTGGCAAAGAGTATTTCATTTATTTAATGCAGATTTTTTGGACACATCAACTCGACAGAAACCAAAACCTAAGGTGCAGTTGGTAATGAAATGGGATTTATCATTAAACCCCATTTCAATTCATTTCACATTAAGAACAGCATTCCAAACAGTGGTCATTTAGTCTTTAATTAGTAACTTGGCAAAGAGTATTTCTTTTATTTAATGCAGATTGTTTGGACACATCAACTCGACAAAAACCAAAACCTAAGGTGCAGTTGGTACTGCCTCAAAAGATAACCACAACCAGTAATCACTCTAAAGGAGCATCTCCAAATCTTTTAGAAACAACAAAGATTGCAGTCAACTCAGTTATAGTTAGTGATGCCAATGAACTACCCAATGCTGTAGAAAATCCACAAAAGATAGAAGAGAATGCTAAAATAAAGTCACATGCTCTTGACCTATGCACAACACAGACAATGGTGGTCGTAGAAGCACAGTCAAAAGATAGCACGATTACTACCCAAACAGAAACCACAAGTCATGAAGTGGACATTCAGCAGACATCCACTGCAGTTAGTTCTGAACACTTAGATAGTGAACGTTTTCCAGCAGCCGACAGATCTTCAGTACCTAACACATCAGAGTTAAATACTAGTGATTTGGATGAAGCTTTCCATCAACAAATCATACAGTTGCGTGAATTAGAGAGGCTTGCTAAGAAGAAGGAACTTGAACATGCACAACTCTTAGCCAGGAGCAGAAAAACTATTGAAAACATAATGAAGATGAAACTGGCAAAGAAAAGAGCAGAAGCTATGAAAATTTCTACAGATGAGCTACCTGAAAAGAGTGTCTTACCTTCATTGACATCTGCAACATCAACTAATGCCTCAATAACAGAATTAAAATTTGAAGATACCGGCGATGTCTTTACAAAATTATCTTCTAGTCCCACACCACCAGGTGTAATAGAAACTTCTTTGTCTTCAAGCACTCAAAGTACTTCAGCAAGTATACCCGCAACAGTGAATGCTTTGGACCTTTCTAAATCAGCACCCCAAAATAGGAAGGGCATTGTGGCACAGATAAGCCAAGCACTTCTCAAATTTCCCAAGAAAGATGCTCCATTGGCACAAGCAAATCTTCAACCAGCTCATCAGAATAAGAAAAGTTCAGTGCCCAATCTTGAAGCTTTTTCTTTGCCAAAAGATGCTAGTGCACTATGTCCATTCAGACCAAGAACAAGCGCCATAACTGAATCACCAGCTGGCCCTGCTAAAACAAATGTAGAATTGCCCCAGGAGGCTCATAGTCAACCCCCTTTTCAACCTGCAGGTAGCTTGATTGTACCTGCCCTAGATGAAGCCAATAAACAGAAACAAAAAGATTCAAATTCAAATGTATACAATTATTCAGGAATAAATCGACAAAACCACCCAGTTATCAGTGCCTTAATGTATAGAACAAGTTCACAAATAATAAGCACACAAGGGCCTGTAAAACCTGTTGAAATGCCTGTTTCAACGGATCGTAAAAGAAAGGGCAGCAAGGCACAAGACATCATTGACCTCACAATTGAATCAGTTGAAAGGGATAGATTAGTGCATATGAAGAATTTTAATCTGTCTAACACAAAAAGGGAAGACCGAGAACTAACAGCCTGTCGAGAATTGACACCATTGCCACCCAAGCGTCAAAAAACAGACAAGATACTAGACCCTTTTGATGATACTGTTAGTGCTAGACAGAAAGAAGATGCTCAAAGGAAGTTAGTACCTTACTCTAGCCATGGTTTTCAGAATACTGTTAGACCAGGATTGTCTGTAGCATCCAATATGCCTAATCCAGGATTCCACCAACAGAGACGATTCCCTGCTCAAACTCAAAATCATCATGAAATGGCTAAATACCAACAGTCTACAGCACCACAAGTTGTAGCTCCAGTACCACTTCATAAAACTCCTCAAGTACCTGTGAGTCAGAGAAGCTCTCCTTTGCAACCATATCCTGTACGGTCCTTGCCAGTCACATCCATGCAACAAGTTCCTGTTCAGTATCAACAACATGCTCCTCCAATGTATCCATTGTTTCAAGTGGTACAAAATCAAGACCCTGTTGCTCAGCAACAACTTGAACCTGGTCAAATAGTCAGAGACAAGAATCATCAAGCCTGGACAGCTCACCCTCCCTTGATACATCACTATCCTCAACAAGTGCCCTCACATCCAATGGCTCCTCGCCAAATCCTCCCTAATCAAGCTATGGCAAATCAAGCAATGAATATAGGAAAGAGAAGGATAACACCAAAAGAGATTCCAAGATTAATATCTGACCAACAATCAGTAATGGGACCCCATAATCCACAGCAGAAGCAGGCTCAACAACATAACCTCCGAGTTGTACCCATCTCAGAACAAAATAATCTTGCTTATCAAACAACACAGATGTATCAAAATTCTCAGTATAGACCTCCTTTCAGTCAAACAGCGACTCCAATGATGCCTGAAATGATGCCAGTTTATCGGGTAGGTATTGTTTTAAACAATCTGATTAAACAGATACAAATTTGTTGCATTTATTTTTTATTTAGATTTTGTTTTATTTCCATGACAACAAGTTCTGGAACAGTTTTCAATAAGCCCTGTTCTATTTGATATTAAGGATTAGTAGTTGAAATGATATGTTTTGTCAAGCTTTTCCCTAGCTGTGCACAGAATACTTAATGTTTGAAAAAAACACCTTGTCAAAGTTCACATATATCCCCATAACATGTGACCTCCCATGCCCTCTGGTCTGATGTTCATAAAGTGGAGGTCGATGAAAGTGTAAATCAGATTGCCTTTTAAATGTTTTTTTGTTCATTAACCAAAATTTTATATATTATTTTTCTGAAAATATAATATTATCTTTATAGGAAAATTATTATTTATTTTGTTTATCAATAGAATCAAAGACTACTCCATAATCAGAGGCTGGCACCTCCTGGTGCTTGTATTGTTTGTGGTAAACAATCATCGTTTGTATGCTCTGGGTGTAGGAAGGTGTGGTACTGTAGTGGTCTTTGTCAGGTAAGACTTAGTTTGTACCGCTGAAACTTTGTCAGCGCAAAGTGTTATGTGTATTAAAGTACCAGTACTCAAATTTGAAAATCAGTTCAACTAAAATACCAGGGTTCTCAGTTGAAACTTTGTCAACATAAATTTTTAGGTGTGTTGGAAGTATGCAAATCTCAAAATTTGTTCAGCTAAATCTTTGCACCAGATTTCTCAGTTGAAACTTTGTTAGCTCAGATTCAGATTTATATGTGTGTTCAAATCAGAAAATCTATTCAGCTAAAATTCGTTGCACCAGGGTTCTCAGAAGATCAAGCTAGAAGAATTTTAGTCCTGTCGTTCCAATCTTTTTAAAACAAAATTAGGATTTACCGGTACATTTACTGGTGATATTTGTATTAAAAATAATTTTTGTAATTTCAGAACGAGAATTGGCAACTTCATTCTAGACAGTGTAAACCGTCATGAAAATAACTAGAGAGTTCAGATGGTTCAATTTTCTATCAATCAGTATTAGTAGGTTAATATACCTGGGAAACCTGTTTGTTGACTTGAATTCCCATGGAATCCGGTCACTGATTTAAGAATTCTGGAAGAAGTGATATGTGCTGTTTCCTGGTATGGAAGTAGTCATCTCAGTTGCTATGAATCCTTTAGGACTTTGTTTATTTGAACAAGACACATTTTCTATTGATGAAGGAGAAAATAGTGTGGATAGCTAAATATGTTTACTTGAGTTTTGGGATGGTTTCTCCCAGCCTTTATGCATCAAGATGCCTTACTGTTGCAGTTTTGAAATGGCTCTTGTATAGTAGGATACCTTGGGTGAAGAGCAATGTATACAGTCGTTGGCCAATGAACAAGGTGAATGGATGCAGGAGGTGCTTTTCTTATTTTTGGAGTCGGGCATTTTGAATGTTCTGTAGACATATTTCTTATAGTGTAAAACATTTGAATGACCTTAAAAATTGATAATACTTGGATTAAATAGATCTATAGCGTATTTATAGATCTTTGGTGGATTATATTATATGAACAGCTGTTCATGTGCGTGTGTTTTTTTGAAATAAAATACAGAGACAATATGGACCATGACTTGAAATAACCAAATTATAATTATGATTGACCTTTAATATTAAAAAGGATTACAGAATGTTTCTGCCTTTCTTACAAACATATGTAAAATGGATATCATGGGGAAACTGCAATAGTTGTGTACCTTGATAGTACACTTAGTGGTGGGGATTAGTACAAAATGACAGTGAATTTGCAAGTCTAGTCCCTCCAGGAACAGTTGCCTTGTGTGCTAAACATTTTGTAAAAATTATGTACTTTTAAGTTGCAAACTCCAACAATTTAAACGAAATATGCATAATTTTAGAAAATGGGATTGAGTTATTGAGCAAGGACAATTATTTGGAATGGTGAAAAAAGAAAACAAATTGAAATTGTTGTGTAAAGGACATTAATTTTTTAGTTAATTTTTAATTGTGTACATAGAGATATGGGATACATTTATATTCATTGACTCATGAACAATGCTCAAGGATATTTCTAAAGATTTAAATATGGAACCATTTCAGATAACTGTTGAATATCATCATTTATCAAATTAAAATATCATCGAATGTGCTATATTAAGGTTATTCCTTTCATATCTGCTGAAGTACCATGTCCCTTACTTACAAATGCCTTATAATCTTACAGATAAATTGTAATATTTTTTAGTTAAAATTATAAAATTAAAAGTGCCTTGTATATATGTGCTAAAAGAATATTTACTTCATTTTTTAAATTCTAAATTAATTGTAAACTTTTTATTTTACATAAGATGATTTGGTGGATTTTAGAAAACTCTAAAATGTATAAACTTGTTATAAATTTTAGCGTATGGATTAGACACCCGCAGATGAAATGGCAACCATACATCTCGTTGGGGACATCACCTGAATCGTTGCTTAAAATATACATGTAACTAATTGTTAAATATTGTTATCGTGTTTTTTATAAGGTGATTAATGTTAGCATAAAGTAGAAATTCCATGTATTTAAAGAGGTGATGGTGTTCCTGTTGTTATAGTGTAAATTTTTTATGTTTTGTTATTTTTTTTTTGTTGTTAAAAGTTTATCGTAATTATTGTTATAGTATTTTTGTTTATATATTTTAGTACACACCGTTGATTATTTTGTTCAGTTTTATAATTTAAATTATATATTGAATAATGGGATAACGCCCATGTATCTTTCTGTCTGAAGTTATGTGCAGGTGCTACGATAATGAATCCCTTTTATTTACTGATAAATTTTAAATAAACAAAGTTCTAACTTCAGCTATACTTTAGCTTTAATGATGGGGAAGGGGGTTAGGTGACCCACTGCATTAAATCATAAGGTCTGTCATTGAGTCAAGTGGCGTGGTTTTGATTCCCCGCTTGTATGTGACAAGGGTAAGGTTGCCTGTCCAACCTCTTGGGTTTTTTAGGGTCCCAAAATGACATAGTTTTATTGAGTAGACGTTAAACCCCCTCCCTCTCTCTCTTTCTCTCTCTCTGAAAATTTTTAATTATACAAAGTCACTACCAGTAAGCACAGTTCTTACTTCAGCTAAAGTCCTGCTTTACTGAAATATAAAAATAAATATTGGTATCAAGTTTTGAAGCAAATTTAAAATATCTACTGAATCGTATTGCCATGTAAACAACCATTGATCCACAGAAATGTGAATAATCACTGATTCCATAATTCTGACCCACATATTCTTTAGAATATTGTTGGTGGTATTGCACATAATCTAGCCAATGGAAAGATCTATTCATTTTTTTAAAATGGCAGCCCATACACAATGTACATGTGTATCCACGGCGACATTTGTGTCAACAGATGGGTGTCCACGTATGTTGACTTAAATGCAAGGACCTTCGAGGATATGTTCCGTTGAGATTCGGAACTATAATGAGGCGACTTTCGGTTTAGTAATTTACTGATATGCAATGCAAGCACACCGCATTTATAAATTTATGATTGTACACATTATTAAGTTTGATATTTTGTACTTGGAGAATTGTTAACGTTTTTGTGTCGGTACATTTTCAGCCCCCCAAAATCACGTTTCGCCAATATGCAATGCAAGCACATCGCATTTATAAATTTATGATTGTACACATTATTAAGTTTGATATTTTGTACTTGGAGAATTGTTAACGTTTTTGTGTCGGTACATTTTCAGCCCCCCAAAATCACGTTTCGCCACTAGACAGGCAGTGAAAACGATGGTGAGTTTTTGTTGCGTCTCAGTTAATATCCAAACTTAACTAAACAAATTGTATACTGCCATAAATTGAATATCTGGCAAGTAACGCTTCTCATTAATCATTTGCCCAGCCTACAGGTCACTCATTATACGTGTTCCTGATCTTTCTGCTACATCCAAGTGACTGTCCTACATAATAATATGGTATTATTTTACCTGGACGTTTTAAGGGCATCCTATTTGCAGAGAATAAATTAATTTTTGGGACGAATGATTAACCTAATTGACCAAGAGGGAAGACCTCTGTCATTTTAGGATGTGGAGAAATTCAAAATCAGTAAGGTACGACTCTAGTCCCTTAACTGTAAATGTCGAGATAAAAACATGATTTAGATGGATCTATACAATAAAACAAATCCTTTGAAACATAATTTAAACATTTTTTTGTGGTTGAGGCTATGGAAATAAGTTTATCAAAACTTTCATGACACCAGGTTTAATCATAATGAGTATCACCAACACGTTGTACTGGTGTTCTGTCAGTGTCGAAACCTGTAGAGTGTTTATTATTATATGTAGATTTTTAAATGCCGAGAAGATCATTTCCAGATTGGAAGGCGGTCATCAATGAGCTACGGAGCAAGTACAGATGAAGCTAAAGGCCAGAACACACTTGAACGATTATATTCAGGGTGATTTTATTGTCCGGTTTAAAAAATACATAAAAGGTTAATACAAAAAGGTGTACTCTCAGGTAAAAATAGATCAAAACTGGACGTTACTAATTTCATCTTAGCTTCCAACCACTGAATCTTTAAATTTTGATATATATTAACTGATTTGGTGTGTATCACAATGAAAAAGTACTGGGCGCATTTGTTATTTATTTATATATAATATAATATACCAAGGGTTTTTCAGCTACAACAAATGTGACCAAATCAATCAACAATATATATCGATAGCAATCTATTACTGAGCATCTGGCATGACTTATTTACCCCGTTGATTAGGGGAGAGGGGGTTACCATTTCTTTTCAACAAGGTATATGTATATGTTAAAGATAATCAAAGTTTTTGTCTCTTAATTTAATGACTTGAAAATAAATTTGTAATTTACGAATTCTGTTTCTCTATACTAGGAAATGATTATTGGAAGAGTATTTATTATGTGTGTATTATATTCTGAAATAAATCTACTTTTCTGAAACATTTACAGCTACGAGTGTTAAAAGTGACTTGTTATTGTCTATAACTCTGAATTTTTCTTGAAACACTATTAGCCAGGAGCTTATTGGAACACCCATCTGTACGACCCTGTGGACATATCGAGATGAATATATTTGTATGCCTGCTGTTTTAAACACCCATTGTGTATCTGTGTGAATAGTTTAAATTTATAGCCTATTAAAATGTAATAAAGTCAATTGATGGTACTAATGTATTAACCCGTTGGTATCCTAGATATCGATTTCACTAATGTTAAAATGTTCAGTTTGCCGTTAGCAACATTAAACATTTTAAAATAGCCATTAACCATGAAAGAAACTTTATCACATTTTAGGTCGTGGCCCATAGAAAATGAACCATAAAAGCATACAGATGGAGTTATATATTAAAAATTAATTCTTTAAAGTAGAAATTATTAGTTCATTCTTTACAATATTGGAAAATGCATCAAACATATATATCGAGAACTGTACATATTAAGGAATGGCAACAATCGTATCCATATATTGATTTGTTTCCATTGTTCCAATGACTCTATATTATATAATATTTTGTACCTACAAATATGCAATCAGAAAAGACTACAATTTTATTGTACTTCGGCAACTGGAACCAACTGGTTGTTTGCTCAATTCAGCGTGAGTACATCGACGTCAGTGAAACAGAAAAACAGGTGGTTTAGTAGGTCATGTGATTTTTTTTTCATATCGGCTGCCAAAGTAATCAGACTTTAGAAAATATCAATTTTGTCAATATGTGATAAGCCGTACAGTATTTTTACTTCGAATTTTGCGTTAATTATCTCACAGAGAACTAATTCAAAATAGAAAGCCTCAAAATTCCATGATTGTTCTCTCAGCTAATTCACTTGAGCCTGGGGCTGTTTTTATCTGACGATCATTTGCTGTTTAGCTTTAGGAGAATTATCATAATTAAGTAAAGCTTAAACACAGTGACTCCGCATCAGTAGCGTCGAATTCTGATCACGTGATGGCCCATGTGACCTCTCGGTCTTACAAAATGCGCGTAGATTGTCCCTTTTTAACAAGAAACTCCACGATTACAACTACTTGCCGGAAAAGTAGAACACGAGCAACTAGCAGCGACTGGTTGCAACTGATGGTTTTCCAGTCGCAATAACGCCCGTAGGCCTACAACGACTCAAACTGGCAACTGATCGTATATCCACTCAATTGTGGCCAATTGCTCTCAGTTGCCGGGAAGAATATTGTCTCCAGTTGCCGGGCTTAAAGGACAGCGTTGGTGTCAGCAATATTACATACGTGATAAAACTGGTTAAAGACATTCCAAATATATTATAAACACAGAGATCATTGCTACTGTAGATGCGTAACGAAGATTTGATAAAACCAGAAGTGATGCTAGCAAGCGGAAAACATGAGTAATCCTTACATACTGACTAAGTTGAGAGCGATAATAGATACACGGCCGATTTCCAGGTCACTGATAATTCCTTTGAAGACGAGAAGTTGTAATATTAGACTATGACGGGATATCTATTCATAAAAAAATGACTGTCACGAGATAAGAGAGAGCACGCATTAATAATTCTCTACTTAGCAATTTTTTTTGTTACGCATCTACCGTAGCAATGATCTCTGTGTTAGTATTATATTTGGAATGTGTTTAACCAGTGTTTTCACATGTATAATATTGGCTGAAACCAACATTGCCCTTTAAGTTTTTGTTTTATGATGGAGGTGATTTTGCAGTATAAGATTATTTTCTGTTTACACAATAAGCTTCGGGAATCCAGGAACGATTTAGGTTTATTTAGCTATTAGAAGCGAAGGGTGCCGTGGACGGATTGAGTACGCTTTCTAGAACACCGGAATACAAGTTAAACGTCAACATAGCTGGAAAATGTTCTTGGTACTTTTGTGTATATGTTGGACGCATTCTTCACCCTTCGGCAAGATTGGACCTCGCGCGCGCCGATTGTAATCTGCGCGTATCAAACTGGTGCGCAGATTGTCAACTTTGCGCTGATTACTCTTCAAAGTTTTTAAAGATGAAGGTGTGTCAGGTACGTCCCATGTGGTATCTGTCCTATATCGACTTTGTACTGTAATGATTTTTTTAAGTAATTTTCAAAATCACTGCATAATTAGCGTGTGTGCTAAGAATAAGCATACTCCTCGCAGTGTTTCGTTTGATTAGACCTAATCTCAATCAACACTGCCGTAATGAAAGCACATTTCTGATCAAAAATATGACTGGTCAATAGTCCGATTAACAACCAATACCTAACTGCGTCACAATATCATTTGAGTTTAAACAGAGCTCCAAATATGTTTACATAACGTTACGTCCAATTAACCAGTGAATAGCAGAATATTGAAGAAATACTAATTGTGTGACAAACGAGGCTATCAAAAACGGCTACAATGTAAACAATAGTGTTTGGAGACGAACAATACTTTCACCGTTTTTAATACCTTAAATCACTGTCCATAGTTTTAGGGAAGACCCTAGCTTACTTAGGAGAGATTTGATTGAACGGGAAGAATAGACACACTCCCCCAAAAGCTCAAGTGCCAGAAGTCAATCCAGCAATGGCCAGAGAGGGATTTCTCGGGCCATTGCTTCAGGAATATGAAGAATAAGATCTCATAATCTTCCCCTATTTATATAGGTCAACTGATCACGTGACTAAGTGTATAGTTGAAATACATAGATATATAATAATATATACATATACACACGCGCACACACTTACTGACAAATAATAGTGACAAACAATAGAGATAGATTAAGAGCTGTAAATTTTTTATTGGAAACTTCACCCTTGAAAGGTTTTCACGTTTGGATTATATCAAGTTATGCATTCTGTCAACAAATATGTATAACATAAAATTCTAATGTACATAAGACTCCGGGGCATGGTGACACATGATTTTGCATGAGGAACAAGATCCGGTCAAAAAACAATATTTATATGCGTGTGCGGTGAAATGGGAGGGTCCCTGTCAGTGCCACCGAGTAATATTGGGCAGGGTGGAACATGCTAGAGTCGATTTGTAGCATATCTGACCCATGGTATATGTTGAGCATTATGATTATAATCTTGAAAGCTGCATTGAAACCGCGCGATTTTAGCCATTTTCCAGGGGGCTCAAAACCATGACGCAAAGCGCGCCATTGCGTCCCTCTCACTTAGCCTCTGATAAGACTAAAGTTACTGTAAAGTAAATTAGACGTGATACCATATACTTAAAATGAAGTGCCGTTCCCTGCCACGTGCATAGCATCTGCAACTGCCAATATTTGGTGAATTTTATGAAATTGATTTTATAGAAATAAAACTATTTAAAGTCAGGATCTTATACCTGTTATTTATAATAGAAATAATGGCCCACGTGTTTTCTTATTACTATATTTTATTAAATAAAAACTTTAAATAACTGTCATTTATACTTTTGAATTACCCTTTCATACAATATATCAAAGGTTGTTTTATTCGTATAAAATGCTTAATTAGTACGTTTGCTGTCTGCGCATCTGTGTTGTCTGTCCATTGTTGACATTTTTTACATACCAAATATATTGTTGATGCGACTGCAAAGGATCAAATGTCAAGGTGTTTCTGAAATACGCTTTTTATACAAATATTGTCGCTGCTTCTGTCCGTCGTCCACAAAGTCTTGCAAATGCTTCCATTACTTAAAAAATACATATGCGACTGCCTGGACGATGTAGGCGTATATTTTGTTGCCTGGAAACACATCTTTTGATTTCTGATTGCTTTTGTGTAGTGGTAATGATGGGCCCATAAAAAGTCTATTAGCTGCGATATGAAGTCTGGGAGAGAGAAACAACTAACAACAACGACTTCGATGGACAATCTGATTTTATTCAAGTAATTACAATTCATGGGATTCTCAAAAGCATGCACACAATAACCAATCAGAACACAGCGTATTCCGAGTCTCACTAGTTCGTACCATAAACACGTTTCGTCCATAATCCTTCTCCGATGACCGATGACCGATGCGATTACAGTGAACACATTTATACAATTGATCACAGACCGTCTGAAGTATAAATATTTTTTAAGCTATTTTTCAACACAGGAATACTCGATGTGTGATAAAAACACTATTACGATGCACGGTAGGAGTTCCAAAATTACTTGACACTAAACGATGCGATTCAAAAAATTCACACGTGATACAACACTTAATAAATATTCCAAAATTCGAGGCGATAGGCGATAATCGAAAGACAATTCGGAGTTTAACCGGTTCGTCCCTATGATAATCTCTTTGGCAACAAAGTGGTCTTGCATTCGACAATCCTTCGGCATGGACAAACGCGGCGAGTAAGTCTTCATCCTTAATATCAGCATGCCTAAAATCGCTTACCGGATTTTATTTGTGCTTCGAATACACCACCAAAATGCGACGCTAAGTGTGGGTTAAATCTCCATTTAATTCCCTTAGATGAGAGGTTATCACTGATTTTCGGAGTATCTAATTTGTATAATTCACGGAAGCCCCAATTTGCACGTACAAAATTAGTCCCATTGTTACTTAAAACCAAAATCGGGGTTGTCTGTCCAACCCCGTGGTTTTTCTCCTGGTTCTCCGGTGTTCTCCCACTGTTAAAGACCCCTACGCGCAAGCGAATTATTGAAATAAAAAATTAAACCATATGTTAGTCCCGAAATGACCTAGTTTGTGTCGAGTGGACGTTAAACCCCATTTCTCTCTCTCTAACACCAAAATCGGCTTTCCCCGTCTATAAAAGAAGTGATAAAATACCACCAAGAACGATTGCGTGTCCAATCCCCAAACATTTCTAGATGTGATAAAAGGACCAGCAACGTCAACCCCAACCTTCGCGAATGCTTGAAGTGGTTGTCCTAAACGAACCAAAGGAAGGGCGCCCTGGCTTGCTTATAGCAGCTTTTCATTTACGCCTTTTGCATTCGGCTCAATAAAATTAGACATTCTTAATTACCTGTCTT